AAAAAGTGTAGCTGGGTTGTTAGTGAGAAGGGAAATATGGGTATTACATTGGTCCAATCATGTCTAAATCAATGCAGAGGCATCCGCCCCTCCAGCCAGCGGAACTCACGTGGAACAAGGGAGATGTGCTGCTAGAAAGGAAAGAAGGCCAGAGTTCAGCTCACTGGATCTACTTTCCCAGGCTGGGGAGAACAAATGATCCTGAGAGGCAGCAGAGAATAATGGGCAGAGTACTTATAAACCACTGACCTACGGCAGTTACATTCACACAGAGCTGGGAGGGAGCCCACCAGTCAGCCCCAAGCTGGAGGGCACACCCAAAAAACAACTTTGGGGCAGAACTCCACTGTGCAATCTAGTTCTTCTAACACTTCCTACCATTAGTGAGCTCTTACATGAAGCAGTGCTGTAAGGGGACAGTCAGGGGCCGTCACAACTTGATGACAAAGCGCCAGGCACTGTCCTGGAAGTTTTATCCAGATTATCTGACTGAATCCTTACAGCAAATGTTCAGGGCATATATAATATCAGTTACCATTTTAGGTGAAAGTACAACTTAGGAGTCAAAGGACTTGTCTCAGGCTGCAGAATCAGCTTGGAGGCATACCCTGGACCCAAATCCCTGCCTTCAGGATCTGAGTTCTTTCTGTTTTAGTTTGTTTGTTTGCAGTAACTATTACTGGGTTTGCTATTTTTTTCTGAATATAAAAGTACATACCAAGTAAGGGAGCAAGCCAGACTTTAAGAACCTGCCACCTGTCTGACCCCAGTGTCCACAGTCTTGTCGTTTCACTAAGGCGACCACCTCCTCATTCATAAGGTTTCCCCCTTTCTGGATCAACCACTGAAAACACACCCACTGAACAGGCTCCAACTGAGGAAGAGCAGTACAGACAAAGACAGAAACTGCTGTGAATCTGCACTCTGCATTGGCAGGCTTCCCCTTTCTTTGCTGGAATGATCCATGCCTCCCGGACTTGAGCCTAAACGAAAGAGACTTGCTATCTGCGGTGAGAAACACTTAGCCTGCTTACTGAGCGCTCAAGGCCACTCCGCCTAAGATGATAACACAAGGCAAAGGAAGTGGCCTTGGATGGGGGGGCAGGGGGCACATACAAGTGAGCTTCACAGACTCCGAGTTGGGTCAGAGGGATGCCAAGTCAAGGCTGCCCAGAAGAAGGATGTCCAGAGAGGCTACTGTTTCAAGCTAAGACGGCAGCAAGAATGCCATGTGCAGAGTCCTGGATGCTCTGTTGGCCTGCACCTCTCTTCATGCTCGCACAACCCCGTGGAGTCAACAAGGCGGAGTTTACATCACTTTCACACGGGGGCGGAATCCAGACGACGCCTGGGAACATCAAGTGACTTGCCCAAGACCACAGAGCTAGCTAGGGCAGGGCCCTGATGAGGCACCAAGCTCCCGAATTTCTAGTCCAGTGTTTGTCTTCTACAGCCTGCTTCCTCCCAAAAGCATAAAGCCAACATCACCAAGCAAGACAGTTAAATGAGACAAAATAATACTAATATAACAAAGAGGGGAAGAAGGCACATGGGGGTTGTCATCATTTCTTTTTCTGCTTTGGAGGAGTGGGTTCTCCCCTCTTCAGCCTGAGGAACTCCTCCCCCCTTTAAAATATATTTATGGTTATTTCACAAGGTTACAGTGCGGCTGCTAAAAATAAATCCCAGCTATCCAAAATCTTTCCTGTCTAGAACAATTACCTGTGTCTACGTGGCTGGGCTTACACTGGTTAGTGGATGGCATTTTCCTCTGACATAAGGCTCTGGATCACTACATACATTTCTCATGAGCACAGACTGAAAAGGAGAGAACTAGTAAATGTGTTGTAGAGAACTGTGGAGGTTCTAAGACTCTACAAGGGTCCTGAAAGATATCAAACAGGGGGTGCTTGGGTGGCTCAGTCGGTTAAGCGTCCGACTCTTGATTTCGGCTCGGGTCATGATCTCAGGGTCGTGAGATCAAGCCCTGTGTGGGGCTCTGCTCAGTGCAGAGTCTGCTTGAGATTCTATCTCCCTGTCCCTCTGCCCCTACCACACACCTGCCTCTCCTCCCCCACTTGTGTGCATGTGTATACTCTTTCTCTCCCTCTCAAAAAAAAAAAAAAAGTAAAGATATCAAACAGAACACCTGGTCTCATAATCTGAGGGAGGAAAGGCATGAGAGAAACACAAGTACTGATGTAGATTAGTAAAACTGGTATTTATCTTTACGCAAACTGAAAACTTACAGAATCAGAAAACAAAAACACTGACAAAATCGTGTGTTGGGGGGTGAAAACTACAGATTTGGGGTCCTTTTACCTTTTACCCAGTGAAGCATAATATTTTGAGGTTTGCTACTTTGATGCAAATTTTTGAGAAAGAAGTTCAGAAATTCTGCCTGAAGCTAAGTGTCAGTATTTTAGGAACAGGAACACAACAGAGAAAGTCATGATTAGTAACAAACCCATTTTTAAGTGGATTATTTTTTAATAAATAAGCATGTATCAAAAGCAGAAGCAGATTGCTGAGCCCTACCAAATGATTAAGATTCCCACAATGAATGCCTTTTACTCATCTATAGCGGCTAGCAGACATTTTCAAATATTCACAATTAACACAATGATTATTTGATTAGCTGTCAAAATCAAGATGGGAAATGTGCTGCTCTCTGAGAAAAGACAGAGGTCCTCCCTCCCTCCTTCCTTCCTTCCTTCCTTCCTTCCTACCCACCCATTTCTGCTATTACATAGTGAAATGCCCACGTAGGAAATCTTCACCCTGCGCTTACCCACACCTAACTACTAAGGGATTTTGGAAGCCTAAGTTCACGAATCAGGCTTCCTCTTCCCTGGTTGACTTATTTTTCATTTCTATCCATAGTAGACGGAGCACAGTCACCTGTGAACTGTGGAAGACAGAGATAATGAAGTGAGAACAGTTGTGTCTTAACAAGAAGAAAAGTCTACCTCATCCATATTCTCCACTCTCCAACATTACCGCTTTATTTAATTTTTTTATTTTTTGTTTACAATTTCTTTCTTTCTTTTTTTTTTTTAAGATTTTATTTATTTATTTGACATGGGGGTGGGACGGGGGAGAGCAAGCACAAGCAGAGGGAGAAGCAGGCTCCCCCCTGAGCGAGGATACCCTGGAATCATGACCAGAGTGGAAGGCAGCCGCTTAACCGACTGAGCCACCCAGGTGCCCCAACATTACCACTTTCAATATCTCATTTCCCAGTCCTTACTATCGGGTATGTTCCGCAACTCACCAATTTCCAGAGAGAATGCATTAAGGAAGTTCTCCGTGTATATGCATTCCTCATCTATCAGACTTGTTGCATCTGCCGCTAACCAATCAATTAACCAGAACCAAAGAGTGCTTTCAACAAACATACCAGATGATCGATGTAGGCCAAAGGGCTGAAAACAGCGTGTCTGTCCTCATGATTTAAGAACTTACAGGTAGCTCTCTCCTCAATTACACATAAAGAGATCAAAAGATCACTTGCATTACAAGGCAGTATGCCCCAAGGGCCAGAAAATGGGCTCAGCAGTAAGTGTTCCTATGGTCCAGAAAGAAACATTATGGACTGCCGAGTTTAGAAGCTACATTATGAGTAAGAAAGAACTTGAATTAGGCCTTGAAAGATGGGCAGGCAGAGAAAAATCCCGTGCTTTTCCAACAAACGGGTTGGTGATTTCTGCTGCTGTGATCAATCATGGGTAACAACAGCCCAGGATGGAAATGAAATCCTGCATTAACTCTTGGAAGGCATGCTAGAATGAGCTTCTGATTACTGTTTTTGGTACTAAGCGTCTATAGAGGAAGGTGTTCTCCATAAGTTATTAAGATTGGCTTTTGAGCGTTCAAATGAAGAATCAACACATGACTGAACGAAAACCTAGATAGGGCGCCTGGGTGGCTCAGTTGGTTAAGCGACTGCCTTCGGCTCAGGTCATGATCCTGGAGTCCCTGGATCGAGTCCCGCATCGGGCTCTCTGCTCGGCAGGGAGCCTGCTTCTCCCTCTGACCCTCCCCCCTCTCATGTGCTCTCTCTTTCTCTCATTCTCTCTCTCTCAAATAAATAAATAAAATCTTTAAAAAAAAAAAAGAAAAAAAGAAAACCTAGATAAACAAAGTCACATAAAGGAAAGAGAATGGCTTCCAGACCATTGGGTCTAGTCTACTCCCTCGCTGCACTCATTCACACATCGAAGGAGAAAATATACCTTCTTCCTGGGAATTCCTGGTCAGCCGGGGAAGATGCTTACAGACGCAGGACCTAGGGATGATTACTTACTTCCAAGTCCCCTAGGAAAGAGGGAACTTTAGAAAAAGGTGTTTGTGCATTCCAATGTCAAGGAAAGAGCGGCTGCCAGGGGACTTGGAGCGTTCCTGGCCTCTTGCAAGACAGCTGCCCAGGTGTTTTCACTCTGATAATATTAAAGGCCAGATCTACCTTTTCCTAATTGCAAACCTACACTCAACTTGTGATTATGGTTTATCATGGAGGGAACGTGCTGGTTCCCGTGTCATTTCCCACTGAGCTGGTGTATCTTATTCGCGTTCTGAGGTCCAACCGTTGTTGCAAGACACAGTACTTTGAGCTGCCCCTGAAAAGAAAGACTCTTTAGACCACTGCTTAATACCACTCAAGTTGCAGAGTCTGTAAGATACGCTGGCTAAAGTAAAGAATGCTGCCCTCCTGGGAGTCCTCGTGCGGCTGGGTAGTGAAACACTGACAAATTCCTATTCACCGGGAGACACGTCAAGGCTAAGAGCCTGTCCCGATGTTTCTTCCACCATCCCATGTCATCGGTGACCCTACTCCAGGACAATGAGAATCCGCTGGTTATCAGCCCTTGTACGGTCCAGCTAACATACACCTTACTCCATGCAGAGAGCTAATGTGTTGCTGACACCTTGCAGCAGAACAGACAGGCCGAGAGCCCAGAAACAATGGACCAGCTTCAAGACCCGGGGGGAAAGCTCACCACATAGAGCTTCCGCCAGATGACAGCCCATTCTCGCAGCGTCGACGTGAGCTCCTGCACCAGCGGGAGCTCCCCAGGAATCACGGTCTCGTGCTGCCTAAAGAGAACCAGACAGATGCTCACTTTACTCTGAGCTGATCATCACTATTTTTCTTGACAGGGGTCATACTCCCCACAGCGCAAAGATGGGCGTGGGGCTGATCCGGCTGGAAATAAAAGGTACCCACTGTGGGGAAATGCGTTGAGCAAACTTTATCACACCTAAGCCTGTGAGAAAAGAAGGGGCTTACCGATACAACTCTCAAAATAAACCGCTCCTGCAACGGAACAAAGGCGTTGGCCCAGCCTGGACCACCCCATTTCACATCTCTACAGGAGCAATTCGCTGAGCCAGGCCGGCTTCAGTGACTCACGGTTGCCAAACTGGGGGCTCTCAGAGATCTTACCAGCGAGAGTGCCCCACATTTATGTGTACGTGAGCACACCCAGTGAGCAGGTAGCGCAAGAGGAAGGCAAAGGCCCTCCATTCATTCATTGGTCTGTCTTTACTATCCTGGGGAAGGGTGCCAGAGAGGAGCAATTACAAAAGAAGGACTCACCTCAGGAAAAAAGTTTGTATTCACTTCTCTCGCCCGTGAGAAGTGCAACTGACGAGATGAGAGCAATAATGTACACGAGAAACTCTTTAATGATAATCTGACACGTTCACCATTTTTGAGGGGTCTTTCCGGGACTAGAACTTACCCTCGGTCTTCCACGGTTGCCTCCTTCAAATGGATGTACGTTTCAGGGAAAATCCCCTACAGAGAGAAGAACGTTGGTTATACGGCCATAAAAACCGCAGGGTAAAGAGCACAATTGGCATCGGGATTGAACGAGGCGGAGGCAGGATACCCGGAGCATCGCTAGAGTGTGCGCTCAGGCTCGCAGGCCCGACCACACTGACTGTGCCTCCATGAAAGCATGGCTGGGAAGACAGAAGTTAAGATCGGGGTTCACAGAGCACGGGAGAAGTGCTTCGGAAGTGGACAAACATGTCCGGCTCCTAAAACCCTCCAGATCCTAATGCCAGGAGCTGCTGCCCTGAAGGGGTTTCGCATAATTAGTGACATGGAGGGCTATGTACTTAGTGGCCCATAAAATTATAGTGATTTTCCGAAACAATCCCTCCCTAGCACTTTCACTTAAACCAAATGCGCCCCAAATCAATTAGTACTAGTTATCTGGTTATTTTTAGTGCTTCCCAGTCTCAAATTGCTCTCCATTCTATGCTCTTAAGAGGCGATTCTACATCACTGTTGAGACGCTGCCCATGGGAAAACTAAGGCTCCATAAGGGCCTAAGAGAAAGACTGGAAACTGGTCGGTAGAAACTGAAGAAGTGAAGATCAGACCGAACCAACAGAAAGCAAGTCATGGATCTGAGTTTTCCTAAATGCTAACGGCTTCTGTTAACTGTGTGATACGCTCATCGATAAATAGAGAAACTGCCATCTGGAAAAGGCACTGCTGTTCTTTGTTTTAGGGTACTTTGCATGCCAGACCAGAAGAGGTAGGAGAAGAGCCTATTTACCAGGCACCACTGGTTCGACTGCTCCTAGCCCTGCACCTGTGGAGATCAGTGCGACCTGTAGACATTCTCTGTCGGGGCTGGCTGACTGTGGATCACTGTGTACCCAGTGATCCATTCAGAGACAGAAAACTAGTTAATTCCCACTGGGGTCAGTCTTGTGTCTGGCTTCATGTACTATATTTATCTAATACTCTTCTTTCTCCATCTTAGCCCTTCACCAATAAAACAGGAAACAGTAAGAAAATCTGAGATTGAGCTGCTCCCAGCCTTGGTGATGACAGGGTAGATCCTGCCACTGCCTGAGTCAAAAGCAAAATGACCATCCTTTCCTGCCTGGCAGGAAGAACCAAAAAAAAAGGGGTAGGCATGGGGTGTGTAAGTAAGAAAGTACTATGCTGATCTGTTATTGATAAGACCCAGAACACAGAGAGGCAAGGTGACGCTGACCTCTTTCATTATAGGGGCAGGATTCAAAGTGATTTTGGAAAACTGATCAAATAATTAAACAAAAATTCAATGTACACGTAATTCCTGTTGAGCCTAATTTCTGGTGTTCTGAAGCTCCAAATCCGTCCTTAGGGTGTCTAAGGAACTTTGGGTGTTTCTTCCTTCTGCTAAGCTGAGGTAAATGTCTTGTTGACTGCCACCTTGGTGGAGAACCAGACTTGATCATCCAGAACTCACCTTGAGGGCATGATGCTAAGTGACATAATCCAGGCACAGAAGGACAAATACTGTTACAATTCCACTTGCAGGAGGGATCTAGAGTACTCAAATCCATAGAGACAGAAAGTAGAATGGGGGTTGCCAGGGGTGGGGGAGGAATGGGGAGTGGACACTTGGTAAATGATGAACCACTCAAAGCAGTAGTTATAAGAAGCCACATCTGGAGGTTAAAATAAGATGTAACACTGCTTATCCCTGGGAATATCCTTGCAGAAGATTTTTCTCATCAAGAAGGTAAAGAAAGAATTAAGATTTTTGTGCATTCATAATCTGATGACTGGTCTCCTCCTAATAATTGGGAGAAATCCAAGATAGAAGCATTTGAAATATAAACAATGTCTTAGGTTGTAACACCCAAGCAGATTACAAGCAGATAATTTATACTGAATGTACAGATATGATGACTTTCATTTTAAGAGAATACTTATTTTGTGGCATTACCTCCCTGTTATTTGTAAGCACCATCCTTCCATGATAACATATGTCCGCTTACATCCATTTAATTGCTCTAGTAAATCTGAGCCTTGTAGAATTTTCCTATGCCATTTGACACACAGAAAGGCAGGATAAACCTGAGGGATAGATTACTAATTTATAGCTTATCTCAATTTTGATTTTCCTTTCTCAATGCAACCTACTCACTTGAGAAAAAAAAAATCAACTAATGATTCTCTAGATATTGCCCTTATCCACACTTCCACAATCCTGCCAGGATCAATAATCAATTTCTGCAAAGCTCCTTGCTTCTTCGATTCGCAAAACCACTAGCTCATTTTATCACCACTCTAAATGGCTAGGTCGCTGATAAATGACACCAAAAATTTCCATTAAAATAATAGGCCTTTCAAATAGCTCCTCCCCTAAAGACAGGCAAACGCAGGATAACAGCATTAGGAGAGGATTTCAAATAGGCTGGATCTCTTAATGAAAGGGTGTCAAAGCTGAACATAATTCATGATGACTGAACTTGAATTCCCTTAATGTTGCCTGGAGCTCTCCACCAGGAAGATATTTCAACTTAAAAATCAACAACTAAACGCACCGTCCTTGTTCGTACTATCATTTCATTGAATTACAAAGTTGAATTATCAAGAACTAAAAGAAGTTCTTCCTGAGATAATTCTTCTTATGGGTGAGATTTAAAAAGTTTAAATAAGGGTTTTTAAGAAAATGAAAACAAAACAAAACAAAATTAAAAACACACCCAGGAGCACGCTACTTCCTTTTCAAAGCCAACAACAAGGCTTTAAGCTGGATAGATTCTGATCTATTAGGAGATCACAGGATGCCTTAGAAACCGAGGTCTTCTATGTGCAAAAAGGATCCTTACATACTGTAGCTCTCTGAAAGGGAAAAGTGTGGCGGGGGACCTTGTTCCAACATGATTCACAATCACCAGTTAAAAATCAAGAATTGTGTTTGTTCTTTAAGTTCGTGTGATCTTATCTGAGAATGGGGTTTTGTTCATTTTTTTAAGTTGACATGTTTTTTTAGCAGATTGAGAAGTGGCATGTCTTCCTGCTCTTTAATAAATTCAGAACTTCAAAACGGTTAACTCCAATCACGCTTCAAAATAAGTATCATTTCTATAATTATGAATAAAATAAACAAAGATAGGGCTAAACCCAAACCAAGAAGCAGGAGTATCTATAAACCACATACAAGGATCCTAAAAGAAAGAAAGGCTTTTGTCTTACTACGCTCTCATTCATGCCAGAATGTCCCCGTCGTTGGTCCCTATTTGAAGGCCTGGAGAAATTAAAGTCAGCAAGAGATTAAATCAAAGTAGTTAAGTTGGAAATGAAAACAGGTGGGAAAACAGAGGAATTGAAGTGTGGGCAGAAGAATTCAGCATCAGGATTTGGGGAGGGATAAAAGGACCAAAATTGTGGGAGGTGACCCTCACATGACAAGCAAACACCTCTTTATTTTGGAAGATTATTAAATTGTCAACGTTAACAAACGGTGTGTGTGGACACGTAAATGTGCAAATAGTGACTTCAGAGCCAAATATATAGAAAGCTTGATCCAAATAGCGCTGGTTTCCAGTGACTACAACCTTGTAGAAAGGGGTTTCTCTGGGCCCTGAGCAATTTCGATAGTTGTGTGCTCAGATTACTTTATCACATGCCATGCTTGAAAAATAAGAACTGTGGGGTTTGTTGGGTTCTTTTTCTTTTTTCACTCACTTCTTGATAAATTCTAAAATGTTTCTCTGACCCCTCTCCTAATTAGCTATCTTGCATGTGAACTAACTGTGAAATACGATGGTCCTATCAGGTCCTATCATCGTTGCTCTTTCAAAACAAAGTGCTGACCCGCACTGCTGCCCCAGAGTGCAGCGTCAAAGGAAAAGCCCTGACCTGACCTAAAACTAACTGAGGGAGCATTAACATAACTAATAGATTTTCTTTAGCTTGATGATGAGTAGTTTTGGCACTGGCTACAGGAACCTGCTAGGGTCAGTATTTTTCAAACTCTCTGCCCATGATGCGATACATTTTCATGGCAACCCAGTCCTCAACTATATACATAAAATATAATTTAAAATACATTAAAAGGGCGCCTGGGTGGCTCAGTTGGTTAAGCGACTGCCTTCGGCTCAGGTCATGATCCTGGAGTCCCGGGATCGAGTCCCGCATCGGG